CTTTTTAAAAGGATCAGCAGAAATAGCTATTGCATTTAATAGGAAATAAAAATAAGTTCCTATAAAAAGATAACAGTATCTCATTAATTCTTTTAGGGTTAATCCATTTATTAGCATGTCTACACTTTATGTCGCCATCATTTTCAATTAGAATAATTCTTTTTTACATCGATTTGCTATCTCTAACAGCAGGTATTTTGTCTTCTTGTTGCTTTATATTCTTTATTTTTCTACGGGACTTGAGAATATCATCATTGTTTTGAAGAAGTCATAATATATTGAGCATTTAAATATTTGTGAAAAATAATAAAACAAACCTAGATTTTCAAAATGGAAAAACGGCTAGGATTGACTATGCGGAAAAGTGATGGATCCAGGACATTCTACTAGAACTATGAATATTGAAAAGAAAGGAAAAAGTGTTTACATAAAACATAATGAAAGTTACATATCATTTGGGTTTACTTAGAATGGAGGAGAAATGGACCCTCAGCATCAATGTGTTGTTTGTGGTGAACTAAATAGTAAGCAAGTAATGAAAGGTATAGTTACTTCAAGTGAAAAACTTAGAAGCTAGTTTCTTAGTATTCCCAAGGATTGCCAACACTGAGCAAGCTCACACTATTGGAGAAAACCATATATTATCAGCAGCTAAAGATATCGGTTTGGCATCATTCAATGAAAAAGCTGCTAATGAACTTATTAATATTCCATTATCAAATGATACAGTAAGTCGACAAATTCATGAAATGGCAACTTCCATAAAGAGACACTATACTGATATAATGAAATTTGTTCAATTATTAATTTACAGACATTTCGAAAAAGATAAATTAAGTGCCAAAGAATACTTATTTTGTGAATGTCTTCATGAGCAACTGCAAATGAAATTTTCAATATAACTGACATTTTTATGTCTGAGAATGATAGTCCTTGGAATAAGTACATTACTGTATGCAGTGACAAAGCTCGGGCTTTAACAGGACAAAGATTTTTATTTAGTGAATTATAGTTAGCGGGTTCAGCATATTTTAGCTGATATTTTTGGAATTTTGAATTAATTTAGGATTACAAGGACAAAACATTAATTTGTTTACCATTAGAGATAAAATAAATGCAATGATAAAAAAAACTTGAACTATTAATCAAAGAATTTGATAATAATATTTTAAGCTTTTTACCACATTTGGAAAGTTTTCTAACCTAAATAATTTGAAAATAAAAGAAGAATTAGCATCTGACATTAAAAATCATTGTTTTTCATTGATGAATAATTTAAACATGTATTTTTCTGAGGATTATGATAAAGAAAATTGCATTAGAAATCAATTTTGTTCATATATACCTGAAATTTTGTCTTGATAGAAATTTACTGTGATCGAACTCTAGCTAATGACTTCAAAAATAAAATATTTGTGAACTTTTGGCTGAATTGGAAAAAAAGAAAAAGAATTTTAAGACATTTTAGATAAAGCTATTAAAATTTTATTGCCTTTTTGCACAACCTATTTGTGTGAACAAGGATTTCCTTCCATGTCGTTATTTGAAAAATAAATACGGAATAAAATTAAAAGTGAATCCTAATTTATGGTTAAAACTAAGTGAAATACGACCAGACATAAAGCAACTGAGCTTTCTAAAACAGGCCCAAATTTAACACTGAATTTTAGAATTAAAGTAATTAAATTTTGACAGCTAAATTGGTAACCAATTTAAACCAAAATGGTAATCAAAGACACAAAAATATAGCTTTTCTATGCACAAGAAATTGATGAGAAAAAAATAAAAGATCATTCTTTTGATTTAATGTTAGTTACAAATTCTATAACTGATTCTGCAAACTTAGCTGTTCAGATATCCACTGCTGTGAATCAACTATAATATCTATTTTCCTCCTTTAAAAAACAGTTTCCCTTAGAAAGTCCTCCACGAAGGCATCCCTCCCCTTAGGCAGATAGCCCTAGTGTGCTTTGCCGTATTTCTCAATACACCACCTCCTTTAAAAAAATAAATAAAGTTAAAAGTAAGGTACTTGTTTCAATTAAAGAAATAAATTTTAGAAATAAAAATGCAGATTTTATTAACCTAATCATTAAAAATATATGTATATCTAATATAGTGGATTTTAATTGCACACCTCCCCTTATATGCAGATATTTTTCGAAAAATACAGTCAAACCACATTATGAGAGCCCTGTACTTATAGCAATACATTTTTAAAACAGTGAATATTCTAGTAATGGCACTTCTTTAAGACCACCACCAAATCTGGCAGTGGCCAGTATATTTCAGAATATAAATACTGATTTATATTGAACATTACAGGGTTGCTACTTAAACAGGAGATTGAAATTTCCTGACTTTTCCAGGTGTTTTAAGAAAATTCCAGTCTATCCGCGTAATGCCCATTGGCAGCACTGAGAGGTAAATTAATTATAGTACCACTTGAAATAACAAAAATTTGGCAATTAACTATGACTTATCCGCAATATTACTATTACTATTGTAACTATAATAGGAGTTGTTTCAATGTTTTGCAGTACATGAATTCGCACATGTAATTCAAAACATGGCAGTCAAATATTATAAGCTACTTCTTAAAAACAGTTTATACTAAAAAGGAATTTCCATTCCACATCAATAAAAAGCAGAATTTGATAATCATGCATTTCATTTCAAATTGTTTAAATTTCAAAATTTTTGTAATGAACATATTTATCTAATCACAGGAAAACAGACTATAATAGTACTCCTCCTGAAATGGCTGAATATCTCTGGAAGTGAAGTTGCAATTCTTAATTAATTACAATGCTTCAGTTTGTCAAACATTATAATTCTAATGGCACTACTTCGATATTTTTTTTTAAATTGATGAGGTTTCTGATGCCATGAACAAAGATGAAAATCTCAATAAAAACCAACAATACCCAAAGTGGGGGAGGGGGTTGGGTTGGGTTATTCAGTTATGGCAAAGCACATGAGGGCTATCTGCCTAAAGGAAGGGATGACTTCGTGGAGGGCTTTCTAAGGGAAACTGGCTCGTATACATGTTACACATGTGTAAAACCACGAAAACGCCCATGCAGCCAGCCTGTTCGCAGGATTCGAACCTCGGACTGAACTACCAGTGTTCAGCGTCTTTACCGCTAGGCCGCTGGTGGGCCCCAAAGTGGTGCATTAGGCATATTTACTGTTGTAAAAAGATTTCTAATAACATTTGATACTACTGAAGAACATTTTAATACAATCAATAATTAAAAGAGATTTGCTAATTTTTAAAGAAAAAATATCAGCCTGATTTTAAAGTAATTTTTGACTAATTCAAATTTCTGTGCACATAAAAACATTTGAATAATTTTTAAATATGATGTCATAAATTATTACTTAAGTTTGACCATATACTGCAAGACTTTTGAGAGATTTTTGACAATTTAAAAAACTTGCAGACAAACTGTACAGGTTAGAAAAAATGCAGAATATGCATAAATATGTAATTCAGGAATTTTTTTGGGTATATCATTAATGGTTTTCAAACAACAATATATATGATCTGCTAGGGTATTCTATTCAAACATCTTAATTATGATTATTATTATTTTAGTTTACAAAGTTAAGGGTAATTTAATGTAAAATAATCTGCAAAAATGGACTCCCTATAGCATTAAAATGGATTGATTTATTATAGCTTTAATCACCGATGAAGTTACTGTTTAATTTGAAACAAATCCCCCCACACACTCCTGGAATGAGAAAAAAGCATTTACTTATAATATAATAACAAAAGTCAGTAAATCATATTTTTCTTAATATTGAAATCTGAAATTATAATGAAGATATCATTATCTAAAATAAAATTTAATATCCACCAGAAATCTGAATAAATACAGTAAAATGTATTTTTCAGAATGCAAAGAAGGAATTAAAGCATTATATTTGAACTTCAGCTCTACATTTAAAAAGGCATAACATACACAAAGAAATACAGAAAATATTTAATTATATTCTCCCTGAGAATATTAAGCAATTCAGGGATCACAATATATAAATTATAAATACTATAGAGGGTTGGATCCTATTCACTTCACTTAAACATATTCTTATCAAAACTGTATTTATCTTATACGTACTTAACATATAAAAAAAAAAAAAAAATAAAGACATTAAGATAATTTACCAGCCTTTATTCCTTTACTTAAGATATAAAATACCTAATTAGTTTTACTTCAAAATATAATAAAACAATTCTTCTTCTTATAGGAAGCCTTTAACTTATTAAGCCACCGCCTCCATTAAAAAAAAAAATGCATTGTCATCTGCATGGAATGGTCTTGCATCCACGGCAACACACATTTGAATTAATAAATATCAATCATACAGTTACGAATTTTGATTACTGAAATTTTTTTTTAATATTAATGTATTTTATGACTATAATTTGCAGTAACTATTTAAATTCAAAACAAGAAATTTGAGAAGTAATGTTTCTACAGAAATGTATTTATCTATTCTTTAATTATATTTGTGGATATTATAAAAGGAGAAAGCAGAAACTTTTTTTTTTTGACTTTTTAAAAATAAAAATAAAAAAAAAAATAAAAATAAAAAAAAAGAGAGAGAGAGGAAATTCTGTTCTTTTGACAAAAATTGGAATAAGTTTTTTCATGATAAAATTAGCAATATCAGTTACATCTTTAAGAAAAATTATCAGATTCAATAAACTGGAATTAATATAATTATAAGAGAGACACATATAAAGATGTTATGATTTTAAAATAATTTAACATTGCATATAAATAAATCATAATAATTATTTCATATTTTATTTTGACGAATTTCATATGACTCAATATCATAACATTTTTTAAACACGGCATTTTAAAAGATGAAAAATTCTTTACTTTACTCTAAATATAAATGAAATATTTTGAAGCTGCATCTTTGCAAATATACTAAGCAACGATAAACTTGGAATTTTTTTTTTTTAAATTCACTATACAAAATTTTATACAGTTGCTTTATTGCATAGATATCGTATCAAGTGAAAACGCATGTCACAAACAAATCTGATACAGTTGTACTATACATATACACATTTAAAATAAAATAAAACACAAATCAACATAAGTTTACAAGTCGAAAGCACTTCTTTGCACACTTCTTAAGTAGAGAAAATACATATTTACAAACAATAAAATTTAACTACACAATGGAACAAAATTAATCAAAGTTCAGTGAACTCAAAATTCAATCTTTTGAAAGCAAAGTCAACAACAGAACATCAGTTCCATCCTCTTTTTTTATGTTTGTTATTCCAACTTTTTCACTTGCAGCCTACATAAAAAAAAGAAACAGGAAATAATAGAAGATACAGAATAATTTAGATGAAACATAGATATTAAAATAAGTATGCATTTAGATTACAGAAGTCGCGTAGCATAACTTGTGAAACACAATCTCTTTTATATTCTTTAAGATATTCCCAAAGAAATTTTCAATGTACTCAGCCTACTCTTTCCAAATGCATTTTATATAGAGCAATTCAGAAGTCCCTGAATTCTCATCATAAATATTAATACCAAATATTTGGTAACATTGCTGTTTAGGAGGAACGTGCTCGATTTTCAGTGAAGTGATACAGTACACAGGCAGAAACAACAAACAGTAATGTGAAAAGACGACAGTCACTATGCCCGAGTCTCATATAAGAACACTTTGCAGCATTAAGAGCATGTTAGAAGTTGAAAGCTCAGCATTTCAACATCCTAAACAACAATATATTGATATCTCAGTCAGCACACTTTTGACAAAGTAGTGCAGAATGCATGTGGACTTTTACACTGACGAAGATGGTGGTCATTTCCAATATTTTTTTTTTTGTAAAAGAAAACTTAATCTTCACTCTGTAACCCAATAAATAATACAGCACACTATTTAAGAAAAAACAAATGAATGATGAAATATGGATGTAGCATTTCTAGGTTAGAATTCATGAACTTTTGTACTATGTCATGCAAATGAAGGCCTTATTTTTGCTCACTTCATGCAGCCCCTCTGGTATATTTGTTGATAATGTTAAAAATATGCTTTCTATCTACCAAAAATGCATATACTGGAACATTTTGACATCAATTAAGAACAGGTTTAAAAACTTAATTTTTTATGTTGCAAGATTTTATAGCTCAGCATAAGAGTTCAGTAAGAATAAAATTCAAATTATAATAAATTAATTTCAAGTCTATCAACTACCAAAAAAATATCAGAGTTCATGTCCTTTATTAAACAAAGGTTTAGTTAATGTATAAAAGTAGCTAATTCTCATTTTTTTTATTATTCTAATAATATTCTTTTGGGTTTCATACAATACTCAACATAAATCATTTAATCTAAATATCACGTGCATAACATCTGAATAGCTATGCTTATTTGGTATCAAAGACATATACTTCATAATATCTAGATACTCTGTGCTAGGTGCTTCATCAGAACAAAGTTATTTTTAAGGTTTAAAACAATGTAAAAACTGCTCTTTTAAACAGTACTGCAGAGGTGCAGATCTCAGTAATGAATAATGCGGGTACTTATGTATGATTGAAGAAAATCAGCTTGTTCAGTGATTACTTTATTAGAAAATAATGCATATCTGCTTAAAATTTAGAAAATGCTATTTCAACAATTACTAAATCATCATAATAATAATTAAAATTAATGGCCAAAAGCTCCATAACTGAGTTATGTTTTACTATAACAGCAAATTTTATAATGAATTTTTTTTTTAAACAACTTTTCTATTTGTTAATTATTTTAACTAGTAAGCTTTACACATATACTGCTACACCCAAAGTTTTTTATTAAAATAATGGAAAGGCCAAAGCAAGCTCTTCATGAGAACCAGGCTGTGGTAATTTGCTTTCCATCTCTATACAGCACTGATTTAGCCTAAAACATCCTCTAATGAAAAAGGAAAATGCAACTTCCCCCCCAAAAAGAGTTTGGATATGCAGTACGGAAGTTAACTAAGGACAATATCCAAGGTTATTAACCCAAACTATAATTAGGAGAGAAAATATTTACAATTCACTGAATTTTTAAGAAATTTAAGTTAGAGAATAAAATTCCATTGTTATGTATATAAGTATTTAAAACAGAAGAGCACACATTAAGTCAGAAAGAACGTTTTTGTTTATTATAGTATAGAGACATTAGTTTATTTTAAAAAGTCATGAAAAATGTGCTGTGCTTCCAGGATTCGAACCTAGAATTCTCGAATATGCACCGAGTGTGCTACTGCTACACCATGAAGGCATGCAGGAGAAAATCACATTTAATATTTCAATATGTGAATTAGAAACAGAACATTAAAGGTTTATATAACTAATTTATTTTTAAAACCCAGCAATTTCTATTTAACAATGTTTATATAATCTGGATTATATACTATTAAATTATGTACTGATATAGATAAAAACAATTCCTAAATACTATCACATAATCTATTATCACTGTTATTAGCCAATGAATTTTCTTCTCCTTTTTTTATTTCACAACTGTTAACTGGAAAATTTCACCTTTGTTTTGCGATATTAGAAAACCATTAAAATTAGCGGCTGTCATCATCAAATTTAGCTATCCTTCATTATACGTATTTGGCTATGCATCATGAGCTTGGCGACTAACGACAAGTTGTTCCGTTACATTTTATCATGCTTCTATCGCACACTGAGACAATTAAGCCTGAATTATATTAGTTTAGTTATTTATTATATTTATGTCTATTTCTTGCACATATTTGAGTTCTGAATAAATAAATTCCCACATATACTTAAGCTTTATTGAGGGCCGGCGCTAGATATCTTACTGCCTGATGTGGGTCCTAAATTCTTAGACTCGGCACGGCCATGTGAACCCTGGCGCTGGTTCTGGGTTTTTGCGAATAACAAATCGGTTACTCTTAATTCAAACAGCCCTAAATGTAATCTTTGAGTCTATGAGTATCATCAACAAAATCTGTTTTTAGCATATGGAAAGAAATTTTTCCTCGTCAATATTTTTTAGCATTTAACTGAAATCTGTAATCATCGCCAAGTGTAATGTCAACATAAAAGCTTATACTCCTTTATTATTCAAATGCCAACATAAAAAATTTGTTTAGGCATAGCTACATGAGTCATTACTTAAGTTGTCATGTTTTGATAAACATGCGGTTATGAAAGGAAAAGTATAATAAATAATGATTCGCCAGGTTGGCGTCAGATCAACGATGCATCTATGTGGAATGTTTCAGTTTGAGGATGTGTGCCAAGCAAATATGCAGCAATGGAGTCAAATTACTGATCATACAAATTTATGCTAAAATGATTGCTTCTTCAGTAATAAGGTATTTTATTTAGTGTTGAAGTGAAATTAAAAATCAGGACTCTCCAGATGTTTTATTATGTGTGGAGGGAAAAATCAAAAATGCGCATGCATAAAGCCTACAAGAAAAATTTTGTTGGTGGTTTTGAGGTCCGGATTTTAGATCATTCTGGATAATGGACGTCCGGATTTCAGACTTTGTACTGTAATAATAACAGAACCTCGAACTAGTAAAACAAATATTCACAAAAGCTTAAATACTCGTTCACCAAATCTGATGACCGTATAGCAGAAAGACACCCCTTGCTGTTGCGTTTTCAGGTGAGTGTGTGTGGGATGTCCAGTCAGCACCAGCACTGAGTCATTAATTACTAAAACTATGAATTCACTACCCAATATTAATTTAGTTCTATATTATTATATAAAAAATCCTAATTTTCTCACTTTTAAAACAAGTTTTTCTGAGAGGCAACAGAACTTGCTTTTATTATGTTTTTTATTGCCAAATGATTTACCACTTCCCTTTTATCTTTGTTAAATATGGGAAATGTTCCATCCTGAGTCAAAATCTTATACCTTGCTTGCGTGTTTGATTAAAGTTGAATATTCAGGGACTATCTGCCTACGGAAAGGGATGCATACTAAAGGATAGCTTATGTTCTTGATGCACATGGGAGGATGGAACCAAGAAAACTTCATATTGCTAGCCCATTTGCTAGGAATTGAATGGATCTCAAACTATTGATTTTCAGCAATTTTAGCCACAGGTGGACGAAAATATTACAAATGGGTTATAAATACTTTGTAATTACTTACCAGTAAGATGGTCTTATTTACTTAGTAAGTAAGATGGTCAACAAGATATGAACATCACAATAATGTTTTATTATATGAGGTAAACTAACTACAAGCTGGTCGGTCAGCTAAGCGCACGATGGGCAGAAAATGATAGAAACTAATAACTGCTTGCAAGGACAGGCAGGCATTCATTATTAGCAAAAAGGTCAAGAATTTTTCAGCACGTTTAAAAACAACAGGGTTGGGAAACAATTGCAGTTTGTATTTCCTACAAAAGAAAACTAAGGTTCAGAGGATAGACAAAAATACCCGCCCTCCAAAAAAATGTACCGAGTAAAGTAACAACATTTGTAATTCAGATTAAAGGCAGAAGATGCAATAATAGTGAAAATAAACATGTTATGAATTTGGTAAATGAAGCCATTAAAACCAACATCAGTAGATATTATAAAAGGAATAATGTGTCATAGACCCATTTCCTTTTAACCCTTTGACTACTAACGGGACATTTATGTCCCACTAAAAGTTAAAAAATTAATAGTGGGTTAAAAAGTACTTAGAAACTCAATGTAACGCACCCCAGTCATAGAATCAAATGAGTTATGCATGCTTCATCTTTTGTTACACAGTTGGCACTAAATATTTTCCTGCCAAATGCCATTATAAACTTTTTTTTTTCCTAAATTCATAGTCAAAGTTATAAAATTATTAATTTATCTGAAACTTCAAATAACCAAGCAAATAGTTTATAACTTAATACAATTTTAAAATACTCAAAAAAATATATATATATATGTAACTTACAAGGTGCAAACAGGCAAAAAAGTATCTACAAACTTCCCAATGTTCTTTGCCTTCACAAAATTCTGCAAATGATATGATGTTTCTGTTGTTATCAGAGAAAAATTTCATTATTCGATGCCCATAAACGTGAACTTCAAAAGGTTCTCTTTCATTCTGAAATGCAAATAAACATGTTATGAATTTGGTAAATGAAGATGCAGTACTCTTCTGTTATCGGGACTGGATTCAGAAGTATATATGTATGTGCATATATTTGTATGTGTATACACACACATTCATACTTACATATATACATGCATTCATACATACATGCACACATTTCTGAATCCGGTTCTGATAACAGAAGAGTATCATATATGCATCTTAACAAAAAACATGCATGAAAAGTTATTAAAATAAAAACTTATATTAATAATTTAGAGAAAAAGTTTACTACAATGGAGCACTGTTTATACGTCTTTCAATGAAACATTCTCAAACTATGCATAAATGAGAAAGTGAAATAATTTGTTTTAAAATAAACAAAATTTTAATTTATGGTGTGAAACATGATAATATATATATATATTATAAGCTTTAAATTATTTAAACTTTTCATGTTTCACACCATAAATTAAAATTTTGTTTATTTTAAAACAAATTATATATATATATATTAGCTGCACAATTTTGATACTACTAATCTACTATTGATATTACATAATTTTATTATCGTACTTTCAATTTGTTTAAAATGTAAACAATATTCAGTGTTTTCTGACTTTTATTATTGCATACAAAGAAATTTCAGAGGGTGTCAATGTAGTAGATAGCATTTAGAAAAGAAGGTGGGATTTTCTTCATTTTCCTCTTCATCCCCGCTACTTGAAAGTTTGTCTGATAAAATGCTTTCAATTATTTCTTCAACTATACATATGTCTGATATCATTACATTGGCACCACAGTTTATGTATTCCTTGATTGTTATGTTCAACCCTAACAATTTCTAGTCTTCTTTATCCATAATTTTATCTTTATCTTTCACATTTTGCAAGAAATTTGTCGTTTGAGGATGGGCAGTATACCGAGCCATAAAAGGCAAATTTTGCATTTTGTCTCTTTATAGTTTCTCCTATTTTTTGAGCCATTCTGTAAAAATGTCATTAAATATATATTTGCATTATATTATTCTTATGACAGAGTTTTTAACCTGTTTGAAGCACTTCAGTTTTTGCGACCTTCCTAAAGGAGTCAATTTTTTCTGTACCATTAGCATTTGCACAAAGTAAAACAGTGAGACATTCTTTACTTTGTTTGGTTGCATGACCTTGGTCACTTTTGAAAGCTAGGGTTCTTGCAAACATAAGTTGGGGGGAAAGGGAGCAGTTTTGTCAACATTAGAAATGTCTTAATTCATATCCATCTATTTTAGTGGATAAATTCTTGAACCCCACTTCAACCGATTCAACAGGAGCACTTTTTGATTCTCCATTTATTCTATGACATGAAATTCCACATCACAGTTTAAATTTATGCAGCCATTCACTTGAAAAACAAGCTTCCTTCACATTCATTCAAAGTGCTATTTCTTTTGACTCCTCAATTAATATGGAATCATTCACTGCAGTATTGGATGGATGACAATGAATCAAAAATTTTAGAAAATAGTTTCAACCTCAGGAAACTTTCCATCTTCAACATGTAATTTCTTTAAAGCTAACTGTCCACAAATTTCTGCTCTTCAGATTTTTTTCTATCATAAACAATAATTTTTAGTGCTGTGACAGAAATATCCTGTTTCTTTGTTAGCTATGCTTTTGTCTAACTAGTATTCTAATCAAATTCTTTTCAGATTTGAATTTTATCTCTTAAGAAAAAGGCCTTTCGCTTTCATGACATTTGGTATCAGTTAATTCTGCTCCACTTAGCATAACTAATCCATAACCTACATCTTTTGCATGATTTATAGATCCATTTATTATTATTAAATAATAATATAGATCCCTATAGAAACTGGCCAGCTTATATATGGATCTATATTATTATTTAATAATAATAACATATATAAGACGGCCACTGCAAATTAACTTTAGGAAAAATTCTCAGCTTACGCACAGAAATATGCAGTACTTTTTCATGACTTTTCTGTGTGCATGTTGATAATCAGAAAGTGCCTAAATTCAAATAGCATAATTCACTTTTAAATTTTCTATTAAGAACACAGTTTTCCCCCTAAATGTTATGCTCATTAGCTTTAAGAAAAATTCCAAAAATTCTCACACTATACAGGAAATATGTGGTGCTTTTTCATGTAGGTGTTGATAATCAGAAAGTACTAAAAATTCAGATAACTAATTCACTTTTAAATCTTTTACTAAGCACACAGTTTTATCTCCTAAATGCTTTGCTCAAGTATATCATGCAAAGCATCACCACTGCAAAATGAAATGTCTCTATATGCTTCAGCCATGATTTTCTTGCCCTATTAAGATACACTTCTGTTATTGGGAACGAATTCAGAAATGTATGTATGTATGAATGTATGTGTTCATATATGCATGTATGGAAGTACACATATACGCACTTACATGCACACATGCATATATACATTTCTGAATGGCTGTTTGGTAATGTCTCTCGGACGCTGTCGTGTGTTGTCTGTTTCAAACGGCAATATCAAGTAAAAAATCCAAACTGACACAAACCTACATACATTTCTAAATCTGGTCCCAATAAGAGAAGATTACCTTTTTTTTATTCTGCATGCAAGTATATTTTTTGAGGGGCGGAGGAGGGAAGGGGGAAGAAGCTCATTTTTGCTTGTTCTAATAGATAACTATGTTCTACTATAGCATTTTTCAAAGTGTGACCTAGGGACCACAAGTGATCCTGTTAGATTTCTAAAAAGACAAAGAATAAAATTTAAATTCACCACATTATAGCTGATAATCTACAGTGCCCCCCCCCAAAAAAAATATGAAAGGTTTCATATTTTAACGGTTGCTCAAAAGGATTCGCTAAATTTTTTTTACACTCTTGCTGAGCTCGGAGTCTACTCAGTCCGCTGTTGTACTCACTTCTGCTAACAGATTTATTTTTCATTTTTAACTTCATTACGGTCAAAAGTCTTTAATTCGGACTCGTCGGGACTTCGGCGATTCCGGATTATCGGTTTTTCCGGATTATAGATCATCAGTTTAAATCTGAAAAGATGACTTGCAGAAATTATAAAATTAAAAATGTGAAACTGTAATTTATGAAATAAAAAGCAATTATGATCTAAAGGGTATCAACATTTACAAAAAAAAAAAAAGCTTAATATTTATTTTTTTACTTTATTAAACATTTCTTTCAACCATGCGCATGCGTAAAGCATATATTACGCATAGTCGAAATTAGAAAATTGCAACCAGAAAACTATTTGATGTGCATTTGTAATATTTAAAATGATGAGGAATTTGATTTAAATCATATCAAAGACGGAGTTGAATACTACATTTAGTAACGAATTATAAGCCGAGTAAAATAAAAACATCTGCTCAGAAGATAAGGATAGTGCTGACAGATAAACTTCCAGTTCATTGCGTGCTGCGACGTCTTCCCCCCCCCCGCAAAGCAGCATCAAATTGATAAACAGATTTTGGAATGGTTAGAGAAACAAAGGATATGCCTTTATCCATTTTTTGCAGCAATTCCACTTTTTGTTTGATGGACATCGAAACTTGCTTTCGCTTTGTAGATCCTTTGGCAGCTCCAGAATCGAAAATTCTTTTTGACATAATCGAAAGTTCAAGCTTACTTTTATAAAATTCCTCTAACAGTCTACAAAAAATAATAAGCCGGATCCAATTAGAAGACTAAAGAACAACGCAATCTGCAAAATTAACTGAAATAGATAATTACATAATTCTAGCTTAGCTTATACGGTTCGTTATACATTAAATGTGTATGCGTAAATGTATTATGTGCATGCCTAAATGCATATGCGCATGCGTAAAGGTATTATGCGCATGCGTAGATGCTGTTGGAAAATATGACCTATTGTAACCCTTTTTCTGCATCATCTCTCTCCTTGAAATATTTATCTAGTTTAGTTCTTATTTTAAAGGGATATAGTAGTTTCACTGCTACTGTTTGTATTGAGAACGGACTGTTTCAGCATAATTAAGATGCAAAAACGAAACTTGATATTACGTCCTCTGGAAAGCCGAGTCGTGCCGATAGCTGATTGGTTGCCGTGTGTGGAAAAATCCCCCAAATGATTTATGTATCGCCGTTAGAGGGCGCTTCGCTTCTGAAAAGGAATGTTAGTTTTTAGTTTGCGACGTAGTTAGTTAGCAGTGAACCTTCGATGCAATCAAAGTTGCTTTGTAAATAAAATGATTATTTTTGTAGATTGTTGAAGTATTTCACTTCATTTAGAATTAGAACCACCTTTCGCAATATGGCGCATCGGTGCCGAGAACCTTTGGCCAATTTAGAAGTTTGTGTTTTTTAATTTTGGATATCATTTTATGCGAAGACAGCCAAGGTAAGCCTGTATTTTCTATTTTTATATAATATGGAAGATCTTATTGCTAAACTGAAATCGAAACGAAAGGTACTGAGGACCGGAGTGTCCAAGATATTAAAGAAAATTGAAACCGAACTGAATAAAGATGATAGTAGTATAAATGTAAATGTATTAGAAGAAATTTTAGACCAGTTAAACGAAAAATCAAAATCCTTGAGCAATTTAGACGCTGAAATAGAACGAGAATTAAAAGTCGAAGAAGACGAATTTGAACTTGAAATCTCATCCGCTTTGGAATATGAAGAGAAAATTCAAGTGTGGCAGTTTAGAGGAAAGAAAAAGTTGAAAGAGTTGAATAAGTTGGAAAATTCGGACAATGCAAATAGGGATACATTTCTAATGAAACCGTTACAGAATCCCAAAACGAAAGTAACAAATTCACTCGTCTTCCAAAATTAACCATCTCTAAATTTTATGGTGATCCTTCGGATTGGTTAGAATTTATAGGTCAGTTCGAAAATGCGATTGATAAAAATCCGAATTTATCAAAAATAGAAAAATTAATTTACTTAAAAAGCTTTCTTGGTGGCTCAGCCGCCAAAGCTATTTCTGGTTTCGCTCTCATCGAAAATAATTACGAAGCTGCTCTTGAACT